CCTGCCCGGAAGGCTCCCGGCAGGCGCGGGGGCTCGGAGATGCCGAGGACCCCCGCTGTGTGTCCGGGCCCCGCTTGCGTGGCGGAAACGCTCCCATCTGGTTGCCTGAGGGTCAGGGATGTAGCGCCCGTGCCCGTGTCTGTCTGTCTGTCCGTCCACCGGTGCGGAGTGGCCGGCGGATCGTATCTCCGGAGCAGCCCACGGCGTCCACTTGGCCGCCTGGCCCCACTGCCGCCACCCATCGGCTGTCCGTCTGTCCCACCGCACGGGCAGCCCCTGGCTTGCTGTCCAGGGTGACCTCTGCTGTCCCGCCGCCCATCCGTGCCCCTCACGGACCGACACCTAACCGGACCGTCTGTCTGTCTGTCCTCGCCAGCCTCTGCCAGGTGACTGCTTGGGCTGGAGCGACCTCTTGTCTGGTTCCCCCAAGCTGACCCCAGCTTCTTCCCCGCCGCGGTTTGGCTCCTTCGTCAAAGTGAGTCCTTCTGTCTGTCTGCCCTGTGTCTTCTCATCACTGCCTCAGCAGCTCCGGCCTGGCCCAGCCCCTCTGGCAGAAGGTGACAGGAGGGAGGAAGGGAGAGGGACCTGCAGGATGAAGTTTGAACTCGGTTCCCTGGTTCCCTCTGGAATGAGGTAGGACCCGGCGGGAACTTCGGCCAGGATTTTTCCGTGGGGCACATCAGGAGCCCGTCCCGCCCAGCAGGAGCTTCCCACTCGGCTGCCTTTCTCGGAGCCTGGGACCAGATGCCTTGCCTGATAGGGCTCAGAGTCAAGAGCTGGGCCGCAGCCTTCCTGGGGATCCAGACTGAGAAGCCAGGGTTGACCCCGCTGTCTCCTGGGCACGTTGTAGGGTTCAGGAAGAGAGTGAGTGAGAACGGCTGGTCACCGAGGGATGTTGTTCCCCTGTCCCCTATTCCAGGAAGGTCTCCGTCTAGGATGGTGTGTCGGAATCTGATAACGTCCTCCCCGCTGTCGGAGTCGTCGTTATTATTGTTATTATCATTGTTATTGTTAACAGTCGTAAGGGGAGTTGTTCATCCAGCTGGCTCAGGCCCCACTACGAGGGTTGTGTCCTTGTGTGTGTGTGTGTGTGTGTGTGTGTGTGTGTGTGACTTTTGGGGACAGCGTCTTGCAATGTAGCCCAGGCCATGAACTTACTATGTAGCCCAGGTTGGTCTTGAACTCTTGGGGATCCTCCTGCCTCAGCCTCCTGAGTGCTGGGATGGTAGGTTGGCATGAATCACTTGGGTCCATTGTCTTGCAGGCCACAGTGAGTGAGTGGGGTGGAAGTTCTGCTGTCCCGTGGCACTTTAGGGATGAGCTGGGGGCTCAAAGAGGACTCGCCATCCACCCAGCCTAGTCCTGCCCTCCTGGAGACCTAGAGTTTCCTCCTTCGCCTCCTTGTATCCAGCAAATAGCTGTCTTTCTGTTAAGGCAGAAAGATGTGGATTTGGGGGCAGCTGCTAAAGCTCAGGCCAGGCTGGAGGCCCCTCTGCATGGCCATCTTCCTGTCCAGGCTTCTGCTGGTCACCCACAGAGCTGTTTCATTTGCTTTGTGATCTTGCAGAAGTTTCTTGATTGTTCTGAGGCTGTTTCCCCTCCTGAAAATTGGATAAAGGTCCATCACCAAGAATATTGGAAGGATGCTCTGAAGCAGCACAAGGAAAAAGCTTGCTGTAGCCTAGCAGGGTGGCGTGCACCCATAGTCCCAGCTCCTCGGGAGGCTGAAGCAGGAGGATGGCTTGAGCCTGGGAGCTCAGGTCAGCCTGGGCAACACAGAGACCCTGTCTTTTAAAAACAAAAAACCAAATGCCGCTTAGCACAGTGCCTGGCACACAGTAGATCTCCTGAGGCTATTATTCGGTGGCAAAAGTGAACCAGAATTAAAATGCTCTCAAGCTGTGTATCAGACTTCGTTTAACGCTTACGAGGGTGGCACTGCTACCATCTCAAGTCCTCGCCTCGCCTCCATCGCTCTGCACCCTCCTCTTGCACCTCTGCTGCAGGCTGGAGATACTAAGCTGGCGCCTGTGGTGCCTCCTCCCAGAATCCTGTAATGCAGAAGTGGTGGTTAGGGTCATGAGTCCATCCGGGAAACCAAAGTTGTAGGAAGCTCTGTGTGTGTGTGTGTGTGTGTGTGTGTGTGTGTGTGTGTGTGTGTGTGTAAAACTAAAGATGAAACCTGGGACCTTGTACATGCTAGAAGTCAGACACTCTACCACTAAGCTACATCCCCACCTCTTTTTATTTTCTTTTAAGAAAGAGTTTTGTTGAGTTGCCCAGTCTGGACTTGAACTTGTAATCCTTCTGCCTCAGAGTCTTTAATTTTTTTTTTCTTTTGAGACACTCTCTCACTATGCAGTTCAGGCTGGCCATGAACTCACTAAGTATCCCAGGGTGGCCTTGAGCTCATAGTGATCCTCCTGTTTCAGCCTCCTGAGTGCCGGGATTACAGACTTGTGCCACCGTGCCTGGCTCTTTTTTTGCAGTACACTTACTGAAGATTGAACTTAGGGCCTTTGCAATGAGGTACATCTCCAGCCCTTCCTTATTTAAAAAAAATTTGAGACAGGGTCTCACTAAGTTGCTGAGGCTGGGCTCAAACATGATCTTCCTGCCTCAGCCTCCCAGAGTACTGGGATTACAGGTGAGCACTACCACGGCCAGCTTTCTTGTGGATTTTCTAAGAAAAGTGGTTCACATGGGCATGGCAGTTATAATGGCCCTGAGCCTGTTTCCTCGGCTGCTAGCCGGGGTTGTTACTAGCCCACATGAGTGTGTTTCACTTCTTAGGGAGGATGAGGTCACTCAGTGCCTATGGCTGTGCATTTATGACATCTTACACAAGGGGCTTAATCCCCCTTTTCTTTTTTGTGGTACCGGGGATCAAACTCGGGTCCTTGCGCTTGCAAGGCAGGCCACCGAACCGCTGAGCTAAATCCCCGGCCCAATCCCCCTTTTCTGAAATAGGACTTGCAATATAATTACACCCTTTTTAGGGCTGAGTGGGCATTAAATGAGAGCATTTAGATTGGCTGGGACTTGCACAGAGAAAGTGCTAAAGCATTAGGAGTCGCTCACTGAGCGTGGTTTTTAGCCCTTGGCAGCACTGTTTGACTGTGCCTGGGTGTGTGACCCTGAGCAAGATACTCAGACCCCCCAGCCTTCCAGCAGAGAGCAGATAAAGGAGAAACATGGTAGCAGGTGATAACAGTTATGGAATAGAAGGATAAAGGAGAGATCACAGTGTGGGGGAAATCACACTTTAAAGTGAGGAGTCAGGTCACATTTGAGTTTGAATAGAGCCTTGAAGGAGGTGAGGAAAGAACTCAGGGAGACTGGGAGCAGCATCTCAGGCTGTGGGAGTAGTCAGTGCAAAGGCCCTGGGGTGAGGCCAGCACTGAAGAGCAAAGGGTCACAGTGAGAGAGGAGTTGGGTGGGGCATGAGGCAGGCCACCCAGAGCTGCGGGGGCAGGGACAGATTTGAGCAGGAGGGTGAGTGGCAAGAGGACTCTGAATCTGCTCCTAGGCAGGTGAGGGCTTTTCTCCTCTGCCCGTCCCAGTGAGCCGAGCCGAAGCTGTAAGCAGAGGGGCCCTGAGCCTTTTCCTTTTCTTTTTCTTTTTCCTCTCCTCTCCTCTCTCTTGTATTCATTCTCTTTCTCTCTCTCTCTCTCTCTCTCTCTCTCTCTCTCTCTCTCTCTCAGTCTTGCTCTGCAGTTCAACCTGGCCTTGAACTCACTATGGAGCCCAGGCTGGCCTCAAACATACAGCAATCCTCCTGCCTCGGCCTCCCCAGTGCTGGGACCACAGGCACTTACCACCATGCCTGGCACTTCTTTTTCTTTTTGGCCTTACTAGGGATTAACACGGGGCCTTTTCACCAAGGCCTTTTCGCCCTTTCTTTAGTTGGGGACAGGATCTCTCCACTTTGCCAAGCTTGGGCTCAAACTTGTGACCCTCCTGAATGCTAGGATTACAGGTGTGTACCACCACACCCAGCCTCCACATCGCACCTTGAAAATGTTAAGACCCCGTCTAGAGGCATCTGGAGGAAGACACTGTCCTGAGGCTGCTACACACCAAATGAGTGGTCTCACCGCGTGAGCCTCAGTTTCCTGGACCACACGAGACAGCAGCCTTTGGTGTTCCTAGTGGTTAGTGCTGTTTGTCTTTAGCCTGGATCAGCACTCTGCTGACTGATAGATGTTAATTTCTTTGTCCTCAGAGATGGAGCTCATGATTACATTGGTAGTATCAGTAATACCTTATTTTATCACATATCCCAACTGGTGTGCCCGTCTGTACAGGCAGTGCTCTGACCAGGGATGCAGTTGGTTCCAGGACACACGTGACACATGGGTGACACACGCAGGAAGTGCTCACATGTGATGTGCGCGCATACACACGTCCAAGCGCATTTCTGATTCCCCAGTTCCTTTGACGTAGCTGGACGTCTTATTGGTTCCCTTCTAGTGGGAATCCTGGCTGTAAACAGATACTTGGATGTCAGAGTTATTTACACCAGTTCCACATATGGTGGTGGAAACTTGGGAGCAGAACCGCCCAGCACTGGAAGATTTGGTCAAACAGTGCGTCCAGACGGCTGACTGTGAAACGCGTAGCGACGGAGAAGGGACCTGAACATTCAGTGACCCAGAAAGCTGCATAAGACCTGTTAGAACCAGACGAGGTGGGTGCGGTATCCCACCTTGTTCAAAGCAGTTGTATTTGTGCACAGTGTGGTGGCACTCACCTGTAATCCCAGCACTGGGGAGGCTGAGGCAGGAGGATCACCACAAGTTGGAGCTCAGCCTGGGTTCAAGGCTAGCCTGGAATACATAGCAAGACCCTGTCTCCAAAAACCAAACCAGTTATATTTGTGAAACCAGCAGCCGGGAAAAATGTGCATCACCCTAACTGCCTGCATGGGCCACGTCCCACGTGGTGTTGGGTTTGCTTTTTTGCTCACTTTTTGTACAGCCAGGATGACAGATAGCAGCTCTGGGCTTTTTGTTGTTGTTGTTCCAGAGCTATTTGCCCAAGGCTTGATGGCCCTGCTAGGTGCCTGCCACATTGAGTCCCCTGGGGCACTCCTGAGTGAGGCCAGAGGGTAGCTGGCCAGAGAGAGAGGGGCTGGTCACGGGGTGGAACCCCATCCTCTCCCCGAGTTGGCGCTGGGCTCCAAGCAGCGGCAGTTGCCAAGCTTTCACCCGATTTGAATGAAAATGCTGAAATTATAGGCTCCTCAGCTGCTGAGAAAAATGGGAGCATCCGCTGAACCCTAATTTCCTGGGGTAGAGCCAGTGGCATGCTGTAATTAGGCCCTTATTGTGTCAGAGTGTTGGAAAAATGCAGGCCATAATGAGATACTTACAGGGCATCAGCAACTATCTGAATAAAAGAAAAAAAATGCGGTGTTTCCTGAGTGAGATGTTGCTTGGAGAGGGAAGGTGCATTCTGAGTTCCAGTTACTGTTGGCAGGCGGGTCGCTGCCGGGGTGGGGGGCGTCCCCACAGTGACCCCCTCTGCTTGAACCAGGGGCCGCATGGCCGTTTGGTTTCATCTGCTGCTGGGTGGTTATGATGTGTAGGCTGGTATCTGTGGAGAATCGCACGTGTCAAGTTCTGGGGGAG